TAAATGAAAATACGTTATTATTTATTTTTTTATTTTCTATTTTACTTTAGAAGGACAATTACACTAAGAATTTAGGACTGGATAATAAGAAATGTTATGTATTGCACTCATTTTGTGCCACCAAATAACATTCTATTTACTATAGTAATATCTTACATTTTATATAGTGCTGCATTTTTCCATGGAATGGAGATTTATGGAATTTCTCATTTAAGAAGTGTCCTAGGATCTGTCTTGCTCAGCCCTAAAGCCAGTCATTCATATACCTCGGAATGACAATTAGTCTGTTTTCATGTAAGGAGATTCTGGTTCAGAATTGCACTGATCAGAACTCACATGTGGAATCAGAAATCCTGTGCTCAGACTGAACTCGAGTAGGCTTTGCTGCTTTCTCTTGCAACATAACATAAACCTACTGGTTTATGTTGCTATCCCACCAATCTCTGTGGAGTCAGCTGAGTTAGGATGGTTATAGAATCATTCTTAAATGTTCCTTCAGATATATCTCAGCCTTCAGCTCTGTAAGATTTTGTATGAAAATAAATTCTAACACTGCTATTATTTCTAAGGAAATAATAGGAAAAAATAAATGAAAAAAAAAAAAACCAAACCAAAAAACCAAGCAAACCCCAAAACTCAACGGTGTGTGTTTCCACTTCTTTTCTTGTATCTTTGTCCCTGACTTTCCAAGCTGAATTATTTCTCAGAGACACAATCAAATGTATGGGAGACAGTCTATATATTCTTTCCCGCCATTTTCCAAACTGCTCAGCCAGCCTGTCACAAAAAACAAAATAAATTTCTGAGTAGAAAGGGCCTTTAGAATATAACTGACAATGAAGCATTTAAAACCTTTAAAATTAGTTTTGGCTTTATTTAGTCTAGAAGGAATAGAGCTTTGTGTGCCTTTTGCTTATGTTTACATTTACATTAAAAATGAAGGCATGATTTGTTTGCCACCCCTGAGCCAAATTACGAAGATTTTCTGTTATAACAAAGCTTCTGGCTAGGGTTGAAAAAGAATAGCTGTGCACAACAGGAAGAGAAGATTATGATGTACATGATATACAATCACCAGTGGTCTTGGGATACTCTTGCTGGTAAAAGCACAACAGATAGGAATGAGCAAGACATCCCAATTCCTACAGATTTGCACTCGGGTCCTTTGATGGGAGCGTTTTGCACTGCTAGCTGTGAAACAAGGGGTGAGTGCCTTGGTGGAGTACCCTTGACTGGGGAGCTTCTCTCCAGAGAGAGGGAAAAGGAGTTTGCTCTCATTCCATAACACTTGTCTGCTGTCCCTTGACCTGCATTATGACACTTGTGGTATTTTTATTTGGTAGGTGTTGGTGTTGATGGTGAAGGGTACAGAAGTTCCTTGGTTTTTGTGGTAATTTTTCCTTTTTTTTTTTTCTTTTTTTTTTTAAACAAGACAATTTACTGTACTAGAAACTAGTGTAGAAACAAAATAATTGAATATTCCACTTCCTTCAAACAAAGCCCATATGCTGTGCCGTGGGAAGGCTGTCATGTCAGAGCTAGGTGTATAAAATAAGAGGTGCTTAGAGGTCTTAGAGGTGCTAAATACTCACAGCTCAGCACTTTTGAAATAGAGCGCAGTCTGGAACACGTGAACACTCCCTAGAAGCTTCACTCTGAACATGGAAACCCTGCTGAAATCACAGAGCACATCCATACATGGCTTAAAATGTAAGCTTTAGAAAGCTGTCAAGATATTTGTGTGATTCTGTATTCCATGACTTCTCTTATGTAAAAAGGTTTAAGATCTTTACATAAAAAATTGTTCTTTTTTCTCCTCCTTCACTTCAGGTAATATAGACATAAAGAATTTCAGCTCATCAGATCTGACTGATGTAAACTAAATTAGGTATTATGTGCAATCAATATACCGCAGTGGGGCCACTTGAGTTGCAGGAAGAAGCTCTTTTTTAAACTGCAGGGTTTATAATGCTTTTACATTTCCTATATTGATGGTAAAAAGAGAGGAATTATTTTAAAAACCTGCAGACCCTTGAAAAAAAAAAATTCTGGAGCAGGAATGGCCTGCTTCTAGGAGCACTAAATAGGAAGGATGACCTACTTTAGTTTAAAACCACAGGCTGAACCTACTTTTTCAAACCTCAGTCCAGCAAGCAATCCCATTAAAACGTGGTCTTGAAATCTTAATTGCTATGCTAGGAAGAGGTGAAGAAAGCTTTCGTCTGACACTGGGCAAAGTCTCTCCATACAGGCCAGCAGCCTCTCTGGTCCAATTCTTGAGTGACAAAGAAAGGCAGTGTTGTTTACCATAGTGTAATATCTTCAGCTTTCTCTTAATTTATTTTATTATTTTTTCAGTTTCTGTTGAATCAGTTAAACTCTGGAGCAGGAAAGTTTATTACCTTATCCTGCACCATTCTGAACCCTGTAGTGCTGGCAATAATACCTGTCCTGGGCAGCTTGACTTCTTCCATCTCTTCTCACCAGGGACTCCTCAGGAACTTGCCATACTGAAACAGCTACCTACATGTCTGCCACTGTATTTTCTTTTACTCAGTGTCTTGTTAGCGGATTTAAGCATTTGAGAAAAACCTGAAGTAATGTGATTGCAGCACTGTCTTCAGGGTACCTGAGATGGTGTCAGTGTGGTCTCTGGAGGCTGTGTGTCTGGAAATTAAAACAGACTATGGTTCTGAGGTCACTGCTAGTGTGTGTCAGGGATGGGATTCAGAGCTTTGTCCAGCTAAGGGCATTTATAGTATTTCTTATTTGAAGGTGAATTGGATTTCTGCTGCTGGTGTAGGCACATGATACTACTGAGGCAGATTTGCAGAACAAGAAGGTTGTTTGCAGTCATTCTGGGGTCAATCTGTTTGCATTACTGCAATACAAGGGCGTGGAGGGAGTGGGCAGTCTTACTGAAAAACTGCGAACAGCCGAAGTTTTTTGAACCATCTTGCTGACCGTTCTAATGCTGTCACGGTTTTGTTCAAATGTGAATCAGACTTACTCATTTTAGACCACATTGCCGAAGATATCGCCTAGCATAGCTAGCTTGTGATCCAATGCAACATGCTGCATTAGTGCATTTACCTATAAATTCTATCTGTTTGTTCTACCTCAGAAATACTGTTTGCACCTTCAAACTATCTGCTGCAAGCACAAAATGGGAAGTGCTTGCTGAATCCTGAAAGCTGGAAGAGAAGTAACGTTCACTTTACCAATTTTTAATCTGAAACAGGAGAAGAAAACAAATGCAATTGATGTAAAAAGACCTGTCAGCATTATCTCCATGTGTGTTATAAAAAATATTGCCTTCATACTGTATAATATACTGTACTTTAAAAACAATTTAAACATACAATATTGCATATAAAGCATGATGCTTAACCTCCTGGAGATCAGCCTAAATTATTGAAAATACCAACTATATTTTCAGATTTGCAAGAAACAGAATCTGTGATGGAAATCAAGATCTTACTGTTAGAAAGCATGCTATAGATGGTAATGAGTCTGTGGTGTATGTGCCTTCACGCTTGTCACTTTGCTGCAGTTCCTTCTGGCAGGGGCAGCTTGCAAACACTCCTTACAAAGCAGAAATGGCAGCCCCTCTGCTGAAGGATGATCTCCCTGAGCTATGGTTTATTTATGGTTTATGGTATTTTACAAGATTTGCTTGCAGCTAAGTGGAATAAGTGGCACACAAGTGATAGGAGGTTCTTTCTAAGTGACACACTTAAATGTCTGCAGAGCTGTTTCAGCATTGGATTCCCAGCCTTCTCTGTGGTTTCCAAACTTTTCCATTTCCATCTGCCTAGATAACAGCATAAATCAGACAAAGATTGTGTCCTGAAAACAGTGGTTACAAAGGCACATGCAATGCATAATTCTGCTCCTGTGTTGAGGTCCCACTCTCCAAAAGTGTTTGGAAGCATTGTGCTGGGCAAGCATACAAAGTCAATGTGAGCAACCTGACCCATACCTAAAAGTACCCTTTGTTCTCATGTGTGGCTTGAAAATCTGTTCTGAAATTGAAATCTTATGGTACATTTGACCTTTAATAATGGCAGTGATTTAATGTTCTACTAAAAGGCAGTTATTGAGGTGGAGTGTCCATATAACCAGAAGAACAATCTAGGACTTTGTTACCGAGCAATACTATTATTTGTAGGTAAGAAAAGTCGCCTTTAGCAACTTCCCAGTCTGGTGTTTCTTGATGGAGATGCTAATTTCCTAGAGAGAGCTCCAGGAACACAACTTTTAAATATTGATGAAAATTAGGAGCTGTACCGTCTCTGAAAAGAGACAAGCAAAGATGAAATGGCAACATAAAAATACACTTAGCATCTTAGAACTCCAGGCTGCTCTGGGTCTGTGTGGGGTCAGGCCAGCTCGCTGCCCATGTTCAGCCGTAAATATTGAGCACGCCAACACGTCGGTGCCGTGCAAGCTGGGCTAACACAGGTGGTCCTCCAGCTCCTCATGCCTTCACCCCCACCGCCAGGATGTTGTGATAGGAGGGGAGAAGCTGCTCTGGCTCCCAGGGCAAGGGGTGAAGAGTCCCTGAATGCCTCGGACGCTTAAGACCAGAACCTTCGCCGTACGGGGTAGGTTCCTTCCCTCTCACAGACCGATGGGTTGGGAGCGGCATCGTTCCTGGTGCGGCTGTTGGAGGAGCGGGAGGCACGGCCGCGCTCTCACGGAGCACACACGTACGGAGCATACACACACAGAGCACACACACTCACGGAGCACACAGACTCACAGGAAGCACGCACACACACACAGAGTGTACGTACACACACACACACACGGTCACACGTGCCTGCCCGGCCGGGTCCGCCCCGCCGCGCTGGGAGCCCCCGGGGGCGGGGGAGCCGCTCCCCTGCGCGCCCGCCCCCGCTGCAGCCGCCGCCCGGGGCTGGACGCCGAGGCATGAAGAGGAGCCTCCCCGGCGGGCGGGCTGAGGCTGAGGTGGGTTCGGGCCCTGTGCGGCTGCGGACCGGCCGCCCCATGCGGGCTCCGCTGCCGCCCGCGCCGGGATGGAGGAGCAGGGCAGCCGCCGGCGGCCGCTCCCCGTCCTGCTGCTCTGGGGTAAGTGCCCGGCGGGGCTGGCCGGGGCCGCCCCGGCACTGCTGCACCGGGACCGGCTGAGCATCCTCGCGTGTGCGCGGTCCCCGAGGGCAGTGCTTTCTGCCGGGGCGTGGGGCTGAAGTTCGGGGGAGGTGGGAGCGCCGCCACTTTGGTTAGAGCATCCCTCTGGGAGGGGGTCTCCGTGCGTCCCTTGCCGGCGGGTCGGGACGCAGCGGGGATCGCTCTCCCTCCGGGGCTCTCCATCCCGGGCAGAGCGGCGGCTTCGCAGCAGCGAGAGCCCGGGCTGGCAGCGGGGCCGGGCGCGGTGTCAGGGCTGCCGCTCCCCTTCAGCATCGCCGAGGGCAGTCCCCGAACGGGGCGCCCAGGCCCCAGGGAAAACGATCTCAAACTTCGAGCCTTAGTCAGGCTTTCCGTCTTGGATCCCACATGGATTCCGGGGAGGTGTGTTTGGCTGTTGGGGAAGGTTTATTCCTGCATACTGAAAGGGCTGATTACTGTTAGTGGAGCTGCGTTCCAAGCACAGAGTTATCAAGCACAGGTATTCTTCAGATCTTTCACTTAGAGCGCCTCGGCTGGTAGAAAAAGTATTTTATTGTTCCTTGTCAGGAAGATTGTTTTAGGGCTCTCAGATTTAATGTGTTGCAGTCATCTAAATTTGCCAGAAGCCAGCTCTGACCGTCTTCATTCAACAGTAAACTAAGAGATGTAGTTGATTCCTTGTGAGTCACATTTAAGGGACAAAAATTCAGGCCTGAGGGCTTCAGAACTTTGTTTGCTATTTAGACCCCTTCCAAAGTACAAAGAGCTGGTAAACACTGCACGTATTTCTATGAAAAGATCCACAAAAAAATGGATAGTTGTATAGACAGTGTTCAGTAGGATCATTCTCAGCTGGTCTGTCAAAAGAATGACATGTCACATGCACAAGTTTCTGATTCTCTGTGTCTTGAGGACTTCTAAAATCTTATCTTAGTTGCTCAGATTTTTGTTATTCCTCAGCTGAAAAAGAATAAAGAGATGGCCAACACTTGTCTTGACACATGAAAGATTTATGCCATCTCGAACTCAGGGAACTAGGCAATAATCCTTTTGTACTGGGAGACGTCATGATGTAACTTTGAGTTTTGCAAAGCAAAATTGCCCACTGGAGATTTATTTTCAGAGATTTACTAGAGTGAAGGACAGTGTCCCTGTGGCTCAGGAAGGTACAGGAGGACATTTTTCACCAGAGAGACACAGATAAATCAATTGTGCTAGACATTTTTAAGTGTGCTAGTTCCATTCCTAATAGAATAACACAGACACACAAAAGATTTTAAGAGTATATGTTAACTGATAATGCATTATTTTTGCTTGGAATTGGAAAGGGTAGATATAATCAAGAACTAATGAAATGAGACTGATTTCCTAGTAGAAAAACCATAGAGTTCAAGGATGTGAAATCAGTTTTTTTAATAAGAAAAACCTAAAGTAGTAGAAAACGAAATTTCTTCTTTGGGAATACATACACAGTTTTAAAACCAGCTATTTTGGAAGAATTTTTGCTTTAATTGAATGGTCATTCCAAATGGCTTTTTTTGATTAAGCAGAGACCTCTGACCTCTGCCATTAAGGTGAAACCACCATCCCTCAGTTCTAAGCTCTCTGAAGGCATTGGGGAGCCCATCTATGTGGGGTGTGGGACTGTGCTTCTGTAACCTCAGACCACTACTTTCTGTATCTTTCTGCCTAGGGCTCTTGACACATTATCTCTGTGCATAACTACCTGTTGTGTTGTTCATCCTCAGCGAGGATGGCAGGAAAAGGCAATGTGTTCACTCTGATTGTAGGAGAAGTTGGAATTGCTGAGTGTGGAGGGGAAAGAAAGCATCAGCTGAGGTACTTGGTACACTGGCATGTCGTCAGTTCTGTGAAGTGCTGATGACATCTGGGGCAGAGCTGGAAACACCAGCTGTCAGGTGAAATCCTCTGGTTTGCTTAGCAGACCTATAGATACTTAGAAGACACTTACTAACTGTAGAATCTAAGTATCTAAGAAATAATCTAAGAAATAGTGTTGTATTTATCATCATAGCAAATTCTCTTATTCTACTTCTATGTGTGGAAGCTGAGGCAAGAAGAAACATATGGGCTTGACCATGACTTTTTAACAGACAACGTGGGTTTTCTACACAGGTCATTGTTTCAGAATTCCTGCCCAAATGTTTCTCCTTCACTCTTTATGTAACACCTGCATTTCAGTGGTACTATTTGTATTTGAGTTAAAAGATCCTAGTGGAGTAAAGCTGGGTATTTTTTAAATTCTAGAGTAATCTTTTTCAACATATTTGTATAAACCCATATCAAGAGAGATGGTGTCATCCTTATCTGGAGCAGTTCTTGTATGCAGATTTCAAAGATGGTAGGTTTTTGCATTTCATAATCCGGTTTTCACAGAGGTTAGCCAAGCTTAGTGCTTTGTTCACAGGTGATCAGCTGAACAGTTGGAAACAGCCTGGTCCCAATTACACTTAATTTCTGTTTTAAAGACTCTATCTCATCTGCAAACAATAATGAAAAAGCTGTGTATAGAAGTCCAAATTCTGTAAGGTCCTGAGCTCCCCTCGTGTGAAACATGGCATATGTAAGTCCTGGAGAGTTTGGATTCCAGTGATGAAAAAAAAAAACAAAACAACAGGAAACAATTTTAGTGGGTTAAAGTTTGAAAGCCAAATCAAGGTTTTTCTTCCCCATTATTTTCTTTTGAATATCATGCTGTTTTGCAGCTGCAAAGGGTGGAACAAAGAAAGGGAATACTGTTGTAGGAGTTCTGAATTTAATAGACCCAGGAAAGTATGTGTGTGTAAAATAAATAAACCTTTGCAAAACAGAACATCTTATTCTGAGACAGACCACAGAGTTCTAACAAATACACTTCTCTACCAAAATGATGCTTCGTTTTCTAAAGACATGATTTTCGACATTAGGCAAGGAGGAAGATAGGCAGCAGACCCCACCAACATCCATGCTGAAAGCAAAAATCTGATGTAAATGCAGCCTGTGTTCCAATTTGCTGTTGGATCCAGGCATTCTTCCCACCATCCTTCACCCTGTTTTGTGTCTCCTGATTCTTTTATTCGGAAAGGTGTTGCTTCTTTCCTAAGATCTACACATGCAACAGGGGGCAGGTTCATACCAGTTCCCTGGAGAGGTGAGTGGCAGGACTGTCCCTGTGGTGGCAGGTGGACTGCAGGTGGTAGCACAGGGCATCGAATGCCATCTCCAGCTGGCTTGGTCCCAGCCCCCAGGAAGAATGGCCCTCCATTTTTGAAGGTAACTCCAGGCTGAAAGTGTGGAGGAGAAATTGGGCTTTTAAACCCTGATTTACAGCAATGAGATCTAATGCTGGAAACCATTTAGCCAGTACACTCTTGCTCCTAAATTAGTAAGCTCTCACTGTCTACATCCTTGTTAAGGTTTTAAATGCCTTTGGTGTCTTGGGGCTTTGCTGTAGGTTTGTTTTGCCTATGAAGCAGCCCACGAGAAACTATGAAGTGGAGATTGAATTCCACACTGAGATAGACAGGTGCTGCTATAGGTGCAGATACACACAGACTGCATGATTTGAAGGAAAGGGTCTTGAGCTGAGCTCAAGGGGAGCTATGGGAGGTTTTGTCAGTTGAGCTGTGTTTAAGCATTGCACCACCAGCAGTTTTTCTCCTATTTGTGTTTCAGTTTCTCCCACCTATCTACTGGTAACTGAGATGATTCATGGCTTGAACTGCAGACAAATGAATCAATTTCCAGTTTACCATACCGAGGGAAAATCTGCAATGAGTGGTCCCTTAAAAAACACCATTTGCTACCATCTGTGTCTTGGCTATTGAAATTAGTACTTGAGAGACGCATGAAGAAAGCAAACTGTGCTTTCATTTGAGGCTCAGAGAGATTAATTTTCACAAGCATAATGAAACCTGTTTTAATTCACACCCTTTTAGTTTAGTGAAAGCTGTCACATGAACCATTTTATTTCAGAACAGAGTTTTAGAAGTGTATTATTTAGTGCTTTATGGAAACAGCCTGTCTTTTCTAAAATAACAATCTCTTCACAGCCAGGCTTGCATTGAGATAAACTGGAAAATATAAATGGAAAAAATTGACATTATTTTAATATAAATATATATGTAGAGCAACCTGAAAGCTGCTTGAAGGACTCTTAGGTCTTCTGTGGAAATGTGCAAGTATGAGGAAAGAAAGGAGTAGCAAAGTGGAATAGGAAAAAGATACCCTTTCAGAAGTTTTGAGGCTTAATCTCCCTTCATATGTTGGCTTCCTTGAAACCAGTCTGAAAAGAAGAGACAGCTCTTTTCCTTGCTAAAAACCTCAAAAGAAAATGCAGTGGCATGTTACAAATGGTCCAAAGGGTAGAGAGGATGATCCCTTGTTGTCTTCAGAGCAGCTTAACATGATCTACCATATTGCCTTGGACAAGGGGCATGCCTGCATAGCAGCCCTTGGCCTCAGTTTGTCTCCAGGAATACAGAATTTTGCCTCTATGGAGACAGATTGGTGGCCTTCTGCCACCAATGAAGTGTCACTTGGTCCCCCATGCTCTGAGCCAGGGGGACTCTCACCTGAAGAGGAAAATGTGGTAGGTGCTGCTGAGACCCTAGCAGAGCACCAGGCTGATGAAAGCATGTCTTGTTTGCATCTAACCAGATTAAGCTGGGTGAGCAAAGGACTGCAGAAGCACTGGGCCCTACAATAAAGTATTTGTCTTAAGATTTTCACACTCTAATAAGTGTGTCTACTTTGCCTTTATTTTGCAAAGCATTATCTGTGGGCAGTGTCAGAATAAGTAGTGTGATTAACATTGGCCTGTAATGACTGTCACTTATTATGTGAAATCATTTTGTTTCCAAATGTCACAAGTGACAGACTCCTTTTGCATGCTTTTGTGTCCAGATTCATGCTAGAGACTAATTGTTTTAAAATATTATTGCATTGCTGTTGTTGTTGTT